TTTTTTTTTTTTTTTTTAATTTTATTTATTTATTATGTATACAGTCTTGTGCCTGTATGCCAGCAGAGGGCACCAGATCTCATTCAGGGTGGTTGTGAGCCACCATGTGGTTGCTGGGAATTGAACTCAGGACCTCTGGAACAACATTCAGTGCTCTTAACCGCTGAGCCATCTCTCCAGCCCCCCTATTTTCCATTTTCACCCCAACAGTCTCTTAGATAATATACTCTGGTAACCTGTTACTTAACCTGCATTTTTAAGTAAAAGAAAATGATTATCTTGAATTTAAGAATCAGACTGCAGGGACATGGGAATTAAACACAGAAGTGAAAAACGAAGCTCTGAAGACAGCTTGCTTGTCCACGGTTTTCCCTTTTCAAGCCGAAGCATTTAGGGCGTAGTCTGTTATTGCTAATGTTAGTTGATGAGTAGGGCTTAAATAGTATACCCCTCACTTGTTATTTATCTCTTGCTATTTGGAATTTATTTTCAATTAGGCTTTTGTGAAGAGAGATAATGATGAGTATCAGCGTACTTACCACAATTTCATTATCGAGAAAGATGGTTCAAATGAAGGTAAGTTTCTTTGATTTTTTTTTTTTGTTTTTTTTTTTTTTTTTCGAGACGGGGTTTCTCTGTGTAGCTTTGGAGCCTATCCTGGCACTCACTCTGGAGACCAGGCTGGCCTCGAACTCACAGAGATCCGCCTGCCTCTCTGCCTCCTGAGTGCTGAGTGCACCACCAACGACTGGCCTCGAGTTTCTTTGAATTTTTTGCATGTTTTTTGATGAATACCCAATCAAGTATGCACAATTATTTGCAATAAACATTGTTAGTTCATTGCTGTGCCATCTAAATCACAGTACAGTTTCTGTCAATGCAATTAATAAAAGAAACCAGTTTTGTTTGTTTTGTTTTAGAGACAGGGTCTCACTATGTAGCCCTGGCTGGCGTGGAATTTTTTATACTCTGTAGATCAGGCTGCCCTCAAATTTATAGAGATCTGCTTGCCTCTGTCTCTTGCTGGGATTAAAGATTTGTGATACCACATCCGGCACATTTTTCTTTTTTGAGCAGAGTGAATAGAGGTTATTAAGGAAAAGTAACTCTAAGAACAGGAGATTTTTTTCTAGGTGGAAATACATTTCTAGCTTTTTTTTTCAAAAATACAAATTTTTCTTCAATGTGATGTTACATTCCTTTAAAATATCTGTATGGGTTTTAGCATGTAAAAGCTTTTTTTTTTTGTTATTTTTTTCTTGTTTTGTTTTTTGAGGCAGTTTCTCTGTGTAGATTTGGAGCCTGTCCTGGAACCAGCTCTTGTAGACCAGGGTGGTCTGGAACTTACAGAGATCCTCCTGCCTCTGCCTCTGCCTCTGCTAAATTCTGGGATTAAAGAAAGCTGTGTGCTTCCACCATCCAGCTCATTTTTTAATTTTTAATTTTTTTAAACTACACTTGTTTTGTGTGTATGTGTATACCCAGGACCAAATTCCTGCTCACTATTGGAGGTCAGAGGACAACTTGTTGGAGTTGGTTCTCTGTTTTACCATGTGGGTCTGAGGAATGAACACAGGTCATCAAGTTTGGCAACAAGTATCTTTACCTGCTGAAACATCACCGGCCCTGGTTGACAGATTTTAGAGGTAGTTCCCAGCATTGCCTTGACTCTATTATTAACTTGCCTTTTAGAGAAACTGGTTTTGATTTTATCTTACCAGGTACCTATTACATGCTGCTTCTAACGAACAATGGATTTTTCTATATTACAAACCTCCAGCTTTCACAAATTGAACAGGGTAATGTATTTTCTTATTGATTTGTGACAGTATTTATTAGTTTTTACGTAACTCTTCAAGTAATAAACCTGTGTTACTGGGTATAATTTGAAGTATTTAGAGCACACATAACTCTTATCTTCAAAAGCTATGGTAGAATGTGAAGAAATATCATTTGGTTACAGCTTAATTGGGAAGAAAAGACGTATACGGTAAGAAATGACTTTGTAATACTGAAGATAAGGCCTAGGGTCTTGTGCATACTAGGCTAGTGCTGTACCACTGAACTGTTTCTCAACTGCTAAGTGTCCTTTTGAAGGAGTGAATGAACACAGTGATGGAAATGACTAGCCTTCAGTATCAAAAAGTGAGCTGGTGAGATGGCTCAGTAGGTAAGAACACTTGCTTTGCAAGCATGAAGACCTGGATTCAAATTCCCATCACCTGTGAAAAGCTGGCATAGCTGTCTATAGCTCTGTCTTAGCTCCAGCATTAGGGGTGGGGGAATTGATATAGGTGGATCCTCAGTGTTTGCTGGCCAGCCAGCCCAGCTGCAACAGTAAGTTTCCTGTTCAGTCAGACAGAAAACAAAACAATAGAGGTAGACACCCAAAGCCCTGTTCTGTCCTCTGCATGTGTATTTGAAGTGCATGCACCCCTACACTATCATGTACCATACACAGCAAACACACAAAATAATGCACAGTAGCAATCAGTAGTGATCCAAAGGTTTGGAATGTAAGTCTCACTGAGCCAGATAAAACTAAGCAATTTGTTTTGACAAACTTTACCAACATCTGCTGCAGGCTTGATAATATATTAGGTCCCGTGTATATGATTAGGTTTTAAGATGTATCATTTTTGATGGGGGTGGAGGATGGAGCATCTCTGAGTTCTAAGCCAGGCTGGTCTACATAGTTCCAGGACAGCCTGAACTACACAGAAAGATCTTGCTCAAACAGAAAAGCATTTAAGATGCATCATTTTTCATAGTTAATGCAGGATCAGGATAGGTAAAAGAGACGTTCTGAGCAAGAATGGGAAATGGTGAATTCTTTACAAGTGAGACTTAGGTTTGAGTAGAAGTTGTGGTGGTTTAGAAGTGCTTGATAAGGCTCTATACAGTTAACTCAGCCAATCCCTTGGGAATCTCTCTGGCTATCAGGGAAGATCCTTGGTCAAAGAGACTAATTTACGGATCCTTTGGCCTAGGAAGTATTAATTTCACTTTAACTGAAAAGGAGTTGTCTTACATTTAGTCTGTATGAATCTGGATTGATGCTATGTTTAGATGGCTTTTTTTTTTTTTCTTTTAATGAAGCAATTGAGAACACAGACTTGGATTTGGCCAAGAAGGTAAGAAAAGAAAGTCGTATCGCCTTTTTAAAACTTTAACTTACTATGAATGTAGAGGCTGTTTCTGTGATGAATCATTGTTCTGGTGGTACTATAGGAGTTGCTGTAATATAATACTTCAGTAATGTTTCCCTTTAAAAACACAGGTGATTATTTGAACAGATTTCTGTGATTTTTTAATTCAACACACATATATACATGTATTATTCTAATTTTTTTTTTTTTTTTGTAGTTACAAGGACAATTCAAATGTAGTTTCATTTCTACTGAAAATTACCACAACCTTGGTTGTCTTAATCTTGTGGCTGGAGAATTTGCAAGTGAAACTCCCGTGATAATTGGGGTAATTTCTTTTTATAGATTTTGCTTTTGCATGAAACGTTTGTTTTTAGTTAAAGTATAATAACAGAGAAATCAGGGATGGAGGCTCAGTGATTTGGAGTCGTTGCTGCTCTTGAGAAGGACCAGAGCTTGGTTCCCAGCACCTAAGTTGTGAAGCTCATAAATGCCTATAACTCAGCTCCCTGGGGTCTCACACCCTCTCATGGCCCCTGAGTACCTGTATATGTGTGTATACACACAGAGAGATACACACATAAAACATAAATAAAAATAAATCTTTATCAAAAGAAACAAGCCAGATGTGGTGGCACACAGCTTTAATCCCACCACCCTGTTTCCAAAAAAATAGGGGGGGAAGGAAATTATAAAATTATGGTTGTAGAATTAACTAAATAAAATTTCTATGTTAATCATCAGGTGTGTAGTCTTCCTATGAGATTCTTTCCTTTTTTGAGACAGGGTTTCACCGTGCAGCCCTGGCTGACCTAGAACTCACTGAATAGACCAGACTGACCTTGAACTCAGAGATCCACCTGCCTCTGCCTCCTGGGTGCTGGAATTAGAAGTGTGTGCCACTGCTGCCTGGATTTTTTTTTTTTTTTTTTTTTTTTAATAAACAAAAGCTGTACTTACAATGTTGGAAGAGGTTTTCTTTGGGGTGAGATGTTTGAATACATGTACTGAAATATTCAAGTGGTAACAATGAATATGAGCACCTTAATGTTCTCCTCAGTCTGTTATTTTATTTATGTGTGTGTCATGTGAGTTTGGGTTCCTGCAAAAGCCCTAAGAGGGTGTCAGATACTTTGGAGTTGAGATACAGGCAATTGTGGATCACTGGTAGTAGATGCTGACAAACCAGCTCAGGTTCTCCGTTAGAACAGCAAGGTCACTTAACTAGTGAGCATCTCTTCAGTCCTTCTAGTCTGCTCTTGAGCTAAGAGAGAATCTGGGATAAAAGTTCCTTGGAGCTGGATGTTAGCCATGCCTGCAAACCTAGCCTATAGACTTGTTTGGTTAGGGGACTCAGACAGGAGGATCTTAAGTTTGACGCCAGCCTGGGCAACTTGGCACAAGACACTGCCTGGAAATGAAATAAAAATGGCTGGGGATATGACATAGTAGGAGAATGCTTGCTTGACTTTGCTAAGCTCTGGAGGGTTATACTCTAATATCTCCCCATCTATCCCCCATAACCACATACACACATGTGCTTGAACTCAGAATGTGTACAGCTTATATGCATCTGCTTTGTGCAATTCCTGGAAGGTTTGGGCTTGAGATTTTCACCTGATGTCTATTTTCTCTTTCCCAGGGAGCTGGGAGTTGTGCATTCTCAAAATGGGAATCAGATTCTACCAAGAAAGAAATGTCCCTTAAGAACTTTGTGGACACAGAGATTGTTAAAGGTAAAGATAAACCACTGACACTACTTTCTCTGATGTACTGAGGCTGGACTCATGTTTGCTGTGTAGCTGAGGCTGACCTTGAACTAATCCTCTATCCTTCACTCCAAAAGTACTAGAAAGTACATGCTTGCACTGCAATACATAATGTATGTGCTGCCAGAGACTGAATGGTATGTCTGTGTTTGTGTGTGCACAAGCCAGAGAGAGAGAGAGAGAGAGAGAGAGAGAGAGAGAGAGAGTGTGTGTGTGTGTGTGTGTGTGTGTGTGTGTGTGTGTGTGTGTGTGTGTAGGTCAGAGGATGACCCTCAGGAGTTGTTCTCTTTCCACTGTGGGTTCTAGGGTTTGATCTCAGGTTGCCAGACTTGGTAACAATAGCCCTTTCCCGATACCCATCTTGCAGGTTCCCTGGCCCCTTTTTACTTTGTTTTCCTGATTACATTTGTTTAGTTTGTACATTACGTGTACAAATTTGATTACCTTAATGTATGTGTGTTGATGAGAGGCAAACTGGATATTGGTTCTCTCCTTTCACCTTGTGACTTCCTTTGATTGAGCTCAGGTTTTCAGGCTTGGCAAGTGCTTTTATGCTTAAGCCATCTTATTAACCCTGATTTTGGCTTTATTTTTGAGGTGGACTCTTTCTGTAGTCTGTGCTGACCTGAAACTCGCTATGTAGCCCAGACTTGACTCAGATTTGAGGCAGTTCTCCTGTAAGAGTTTCTGTGATGCTGGGGGTATAGGTATAAGCCATTTTTCCAAGCATGGGCCATTTTGTTATGCCACAGTGAACAATCCAGATTCATTTGGCGACTCTCCACACATGTTAATGGCTTATTCTAATTGTTACCTTTGGAGAGACTTTGTGTTTTACTGATCACCTTGAAACAAAAGCAACAATAACAAAAGCCAAAACTGAGGCAGCAATAGATGAAAATGGGAACTTCATTAAACTGTACTCTTTGCCTTTTCACAAAGATGGTAGTTTACAGATGGAAAGGGTCCTATGTGATGGTGAAATAAAATCCTTAAACATTTCCTTTCTCTTTCAGGTGCAAAGTCATTTCAACTGATCGACAACCTGCTTTTTGTGCTCGATACTGATGTATGTTTCTGATACTTCTTCAGTGGTTTCATTTTACTATGACCATTTTTTTGTTATTTGAGCCTTTGCACTAGGGAGTCAGCTCACAGCCTCATTAATGCCGTGCAAGTGTTCTACCATGAAGCTCCCTCCTCCACCCTGATAATGTATCTATTAATAAAAATGTTAGACAAGGATGTTAGCTGGGGTGGATTTCTCTCTGTGTGTGTGTGTGTGTGTGTGTGTGTGTGTGTGTGTGTGTGTGTGTGTGTGTGTGTTTTATGCTTCACTTCAGTGTGTGCATCAAGAAATATAGCCTAAAGTTTAACTTTGAAATGATAAAGATGCCTAACTGAGTACTACTTCTGTAGAACGTGCTGAGCTTGTGGGATGCTTACACTCTCACTCCGGTGTGGAACTGGCCTTCTCTTCCCATAGAGCAGTTTCTTCTCACAACAGAGGCGGATTCTCCCTCGTCTGTTACCTGGTATGTTGGAGTCTAGTTAGTATTGATTTTCATAGCACCAGGTTTATTCAGATCATTTATTACAGTTTGTGTTTAGAGCCACATCTGAAACAGTCTGGCAGAGGAGGACCAATTCATTATTTGCCAGTTTCTATTTGGTACAAATAGGTAATGTAATAGGAACTTGTATGTAATTATATTAGACACAGAATTTTCGAAAACAAAATCCACGGTCTTCTCTGAATGGGTTTTCACCTCTGTGAGAATGTTACCTTACCTTAGCTTATAGTTAGCAGCTTGCAAAGCTTGTTTAACTTGAGCTTCTCTTTTCTTCTAGGCAAGGGATTGCAAACCTCAAATTAGTCACTCTGACAGCTACAACAAAGGAGAAGGTACTAGGAGACTTTACTTCACACTTGTCCATTTTGTGAGTTAGAAATCACAATTACTAGCCAGTTCTGGTGGCTCAGGCCTGTATTTCCATCTGCTTTGCGGGCTGAGGCGGCATGATCACAACTGAAGGTTTGCCTGGGTTACAGAGAGAAATGATGCCAAGTAAAGCCCACAGCATGCTAAATTGGCATGCACATAGACTTTGAGAAACCTGAAATAAATCTGTTGAACTAGATTCCATTTTTCAAAGAAGAGATAAAACCTTGACTCTTCATTTCAAGCAGAATATTTTAGGAATCAAAAATAGTGAACTTATTTGAGCTGGGTGTCTTATCTCACACCTGTAGCTGTAGAATTTAGGAGGCTGAGACGGTAAAGTCATGTGTTCAGGGCTAGTCTGGGATAACCCAAGCAAGTCCCTATGACAAAAGACAAGGGATGAAGATGAAAGAGTGGCTGCCTAGTGTGTGCAAGGCACTGAATTTACTCTCCAGAGCTGAAAAAGAAGGAATGGGATAGCAGAGAAGGAGGTAGATAAAACAGAATAGAAAGAGAGGGAGGGCACAGAGGAGAAAACATTTACTAGGGTGACTGTTGTGACAGTGTAGTACTGCAGAATTAACTGTGAGGGGATTTGTGTGTGTTTTCATTCAGCAGATGGGAGATAGACCAGATCATTGTTTCTTCTTTGTTGCTGTTTTTTCTTTTTCTTTTTCTTTTCTTTTTTTTTTTTTTTTTTCAAGCAGGGTTTCTTTGTGGCTTGGAGGCTGTCCTGGAACTAGCTCTTGTAGACCAGGCTGGTCTTGAACTCACAGAGATCCGCCTGCCTCTGCCTCCCGAGTGCTGGGATCAAAGGTGTGCGCCACCACCGCCTGGCTTGTTTCTGTCTTTGTTTTAAAGAACACAGTTTTGTGTGTAGCATTTAAATAATAACAGTGGCAGGCCTCAGTAAGTAGTGAAAAAGGGTTGTGGCTTTTGTTTAGCTTTGTACACGATCTTTTAGTAGGTGTCCTGATGGGGAAGTGCTGACTTGTGCTTATAGGTTTGTATTAGTTCACTGAACTGTTTTCATTTCTTTTAGATGAGAAGCCTCATCATCTTTTCTTTACCTTCGATGGAAATACTGTATTCTCTGGAAGTGTCAAGTGTTTCTTCTTTAGTTCAAACAGGAATTAGCACGGTATGTATATGCACATTTTTAATTATTGTGCTATAATTTTCTTCCTTAACTTTTACAAGTAAGAAAAGCATGAGTAGAACTTACCACTGCCTGGCAATTGTGATCTTTTTCAAAAAAACATTTTAGTATATTTAGTCTATCTCTTTTTATACACATACACAGATGTTGTATTTACCCATACATTTGGAACTTGTATACTTCTTGACCTGTCACCTCTAAATTCTTCAGTATCTTTTAAGAATAAGGCTATAAGGTTGGAGAGATGGCGCAGAGATTAAGAGCGCTAGCTTCTCTCCCAGAGGACCCATGTTTGGGTCCCAGCACCTATTTGGTGGCTCACAGTTACCAAATGTAACTCCATTTCCTGTTCACCCAGTATATTTTTATGACCTTTGTGGGCACCAGGCACACAACCTTTGCACAGACATGCATGTAATCAAAACACCTATATACATAAAATAATAAAATAATTTTAAAAGAACACATATATATGTGTACATATTGTGTGTGTGTGTGTGTGTGTGTGTGTGTGTGTGTGTGAATAGTAACATTATTCTTGGGGCCTGGAGAGATGATTCAGTGCTTAAGCATGCCTGCTGCTCTTGAAGAGGACCTGAATTTGGTTCCCAGTACGTACATGGTGACTCATAATCACCTCCAACACCATCTTCTGATATTCAGGTCCATGCATCTACATGGTGCACATACACATACTCAAACACCCACATAAAATAAGAGAAAATGTAAATAATTTTTTTAAAAGAATAAGGCTATTTTTAAGACTAATATGACTGCTTAGCGGTGAAGTTGTTTGTCACCACATCTGATAACCTGAATTTGTTGCCTTTAACCCACATGATGGAAGAAAGAACTGTAAGTTGTCCTCTGACCTCCACTTATTGAGATACTTTATTTATCTTGTACTGTGACATGCATGTCGATATAAGTACATGTAAAAGGTAAGAGCAAGGCAGTTCTGCTGAGTGTGGTTGTACAGGCCTGTCATCCCAGCACTTTGGAACAGGAAATTCAGACATTCAAGGTCATTCTCAGTTACACAGTGAATTCTAAGCCATTGTGGGCTACATGTGACCCTGACTCAAAGAAGCAGCCAAAAATTATTAGGTTATTCTAATACACTAATATGCTAGGAAATTTAACATAATATAAATGAATTAGAAAATAAACCTTGAAAACTAATATTTTGCCAATTATGCCTATTATTCTAGAGCCTTTACCATTTGTTTATTTTGTATGGGGACAGTGCACCTTTGGAGATTAGAGGACAACCTATGGACATCTGTTCTCTCCTACAGTGTGGACTTGGGGATTTGACACAGGTCCTCAGGTTTGACAGCCAGTGCCTTTATCCACTAAGCCATCTTGCCAGCCCCTGGAGGTTTTTTTGGTGCTCTTTCCTCATCCAGATTCTAATCCAGGCTCACTTACTGAATTTGGTTATCATAGCAGGGAGTGGTTCCCTGGTCCTTTGTGTCTTTTGAGACACTGACAGTTGTGAAGGCCCAGCCCATGGTAGGATTTCCCTCTGGAATTGTCTACTTGCTTCATTTTAATTCGATTCTTGTAATGATTTTTGGGAAAATACTACACCAATCACATGTCTCAATGCAGCAAGTTGAGGTCCTTATCCTAACTGTTTTGTCCTGTGATGGTGACATTAGGTACTAAGACAGCCCCTCCCCGTCTCTTCCTGTGAGCAGTCCTTGTGTGTGCCATGGCTTCCAGACCAGAAAGAAATCTTTTTCCTCAGTTTTTCCCCAGTGATATTAAGAATCCACTGATGGATAATTCTTGCCTGAACCATTTGTTTATTCTAGTGAAGTGCATGGTTGGCTTTATATTGGAGTTTTAATCTTTTTTTTTTTTTAATTGTAGGATACTATATATCTTCTGGAAGGAATTCACAAAAATGATCCTAAGTAGGTCATGCTTTGTTTACATCGCAGCTAAATTAGAATTTACTCATGAATACTTCATGGCAGGGGCATCACACTGTAATATGTTTTTTTTTTTTTTTTTTCAGCCTATCTGAAGACTCTGTCTCTGATTTAGTACTTAGGTACCTTACAGAGGTGTTACCAGAAAACAGGTAACTTCTCTTTTTTTTTTTTAAACCTTTTTTGCCCTTTAATGAGAAACTTAAACTCCCTGATGAGTAGACATCTTGTGAAATTTCTTCCAATTTTTCAGACTGAGACGATTACTTCACAAGCACAGATTTGCTGAAGCTGAGAGCTTTGCCATTCAGTTTGGACTGGATGTTGAGGTAAACATTTATTTGTTCAAGTTGTTATTGGACAGACATTTCTTGTTGTGCTAGAGGCTCAGGAGATGCAGAAGGGCTTTATTTGAATTCTGCTGGAGAGATGGCTCAATGGTTAAGAGAACTTGTTCTTGCAGAGGACCAAGATTCAATTCTCAGTACCTATACAGTGGCTAACAACCATCTATAACTCCAGTTGTGGGGGATCTAAGTAGGCCAGACTAGTGGGCGTCATGGCACAAACCTGTAATGTCCGCACTTCGAGAAACAGAATTAGGCAGGTCTCTGAGTTTCAGGTCAGCCTGGTATACCTAGTGAGACAGAGAGAGGTATCACTGAAGACAGACCATATCAAAACAAAAAATAGTGATAAAATACAGCTATTCTTGTAGCAATTTGAAATGACACTTTTTTTTTTATTTTATTTATTTATTATGTATACAGTCTTGTGCCTGCATGCCAGCAGAGGGCACCAGATCTCATTCAAGATGGTTGTGAGCCACCATGTGGTTGCTGGGAATTGAACTCAGGACCTCTGGAAGAACAGTCAGTGCTCTTAACCTCTGAGCCATCTCTCCAGCCGGAAATGACACATTTTTAATGCCAGTCATGACGTGGTTTAGTAGACCTCTAAAACTTACTTCTTTGTGTTTACTGGAAGACTCCCTGCTTTGATATTTTTTTGACTATATTTTACTGATTTGCTTATCCACCGATGGACGCTTAATTAGATTGGATTTGTGTTTTAGCTTGAATAAAGAAAGCTCTTTGAATACTTCTTGACATGAAAGGGAAACATGCACACACACATCTCCAACATGTCAGGATCTCACCTAGGGTACTGATGAATGGCAGGCTTCAGCAGGTCAGAGAAACTGAAGAGGAGATGCAGAGTAGGCAAACTACTGGACAGACAGACATATGAGGACTTTTCTGAGGGCCAAAGCTTAGTTCTTCATTTTATTATTCATTCTGTTGCTAGTTCTACTCTATCCTTTTTCTCTTCTGTTCTTCTACCCTGATGTTTCTCTTTCCTGATGACTTCCTTCTCATTTATTTTTTCCCTCATAGTTTATATACCCCAGCAAAATCTTTCAAGCAATAGAAAAATTACAGTGAGGTTACCTTCTATTTTTTAAGTGAATGATTACAATGAATACAAGTAAAAAAAATCATGTTTCTTATTCCCTTACATGATTAAGCATTGTATGTATTACAGGTAAAAAAAAATTGTCCCCAGGAATCCACACACAGTTAAACTTTGAGACTTCCCATGTTTCAGGGGCCTTTCAACCATACCCGTTTATATAGGCAGTAGTTTTTATAAATGCCAGAAAAACAGGTTGCTAGTTTCACTTTTCGTATTTTAGATTCCTGTCCACTTACCTTAACTAACCATCCAATTCTTTGTTTTGGTATTTTTTTGTTTTATTTTGTTGAGACAGGGTTTCCTCTGTGGCTTTGGAGCCTATCCTGGAACTAGCTCTTGTAGACCAGGCTTCTTCTCAACTCACAGAGATCCACCTGCCTCTGCCTCCCAAGTGCTGGGATTAAAGGCGTGCGCCACCATCTCCTGAACAATTCTTTATTTTCTAGTTACATGAAATCAATTGTTTAAAGTTTTGTTTTAGCTATGATGCACACAAAAACCCATGAATACGTTTCCCAATATCAAAAAGAACTTGAGCTAACTCCTGGGACTCATTTTTTTTCCCCCCGAGACAGGGTTTCTCTGTGTAGCTTTGGAGCCTATCCTGGCACTCGCTCTGGAGACCAGGCTGGCTTCAAACTCACAGAGATCCGCCTGCTTCTGCCTCCCGACTGCTGGGATTAAAGGTATGTGCCACCAACGCCCGGCTCAATTTTTTTCCTTAAGCATTAACCTAAGTCATATCTATGTGGCTCCTCACGAGAAACTCATAAGTCCTACCTGTGTGACACTTCCTTCTCCTATTTTCTATTCTCTGCAGCCCTTGCTTTATCAGGGTTGGGGGCAATACTATATCCTACCTTCACCTTTATTAATTTTCCCACTGAACTAACCTCTATCATATTCCTTTACTACATTTGTTAAAAGTCCTTTTCATCAAAATTCTATTTAAACTAACACTATGTGTAATCCTTATTTCACTTAAATAGTGCAGCTTAAGAGAAAATCATCTTCATAATAATTCACAGGTAAAAATGTCTATTAGAACGGGATATTTCCATGAGATAATCAGACTACATGAAAGGCAGTGGGGATTCCTCCACACCTATTCACACCATTCCAGCCACTAGATACTAGAGAAGAATAGCAGCAGCAGCAAACATATAAAAGCACCACAATTAGCAAGGGACATTCTGGAGCCAAAGCCCTCAGGGCCTTGCCTGTCTGAGATTCCCCATCAGTGCCTTTCATCTGGTGGGCTCAACTCCTGAAGCTCAAGTGCCACCTGCTGTTCCTCTGACATGGCCACAGGCACAATAAAAAATGGTTTTCATAATTCCTAGTAATCTGGTTTATCTTCCAGATAGGTAAGAATTAACTTTTTCCCTTCCGTTCCCCATCTTTTTTTTTTTTTGAGACAAGGTTGTACCATCCAGTCCTGGCTGACATAGAGTTTCCTCTTTACAAAGCCTGCTAATGAATGTACAGAGATCTCCCTGCTCAGCCTCCCAAGTGCTGGGACTAAGACATGCACCATTGTGACTGCCAAAATTGCCTTGTTTAAACCCTGTTCCTGAGCCAAGGGAGGAGTCTCCTTTTCATGGTAGTTTTCCTTAGCTTCCTGAGACAATGTCACGCTCAAATCCTATACTTCACCTCACTATATGGCATGTTTGTGTTATAGCTTGTTTATAAAGTCAAATCAAATGACATATTGGAGAAACTGGCTTTGATTTCTTTGGACACCAGTGAGCAGACCAAATGGCAGCAACTTGTAGAAGAAGCTCAAGAAAATCTCTGCAAAATCCAGGTGTGTTTTCCAGTCATCAGCTGGATTTTTCAGGTTGATGTCCTATCCGGCATTATTAAGTTGCCTTCATCTGCATGTTTGAAACAGGATGATGACTTCGTGGTGAATTTCTGCCTCAAGGCCCAGTGGATAACCTATGAAACCACCCAGGAAATGCTCAGTTATGCTAAAGCCAGAGTAAGTTGTTTTCCTTTTAGAAAAATTTGCTTTAATCACTCATGATAATTCTCTCAGCTCAATATTTTCTTGTCTGTCAGTTTTTTTTGTTTGTTTGTTTGGTTGGTTTGGTTTTTCGAAACAGGGTTTCTCTGTGTGGCTTTGGAGCCAATCCTGGCACTCGCTCTGGAGACCAGGATGGCCTGGAACTCGTAGAGATCCACCTGCCTCTGCCTCCTGAGTGCTGGGATTAAAGGCGTGTGCCACCAACGCCCGGCCTAAATTTTTTTTTTCTTAAGTTACCTTTTTCTGTCCTGCTTTGAGACAGTTTACATAAGACTTAGTTTACCTGTTTCAAGTTCAGGGATCCTAGCTTACTCATGGAGCTGTGTGCATCCATCAGCACATTCTAGAATGAGACATGTGTAGTTTCTTTCTGGCCCCTCTCCCTGATAACTACTCATTTACTTCCTTTTTCTACTTAGTGTGTAAATTCTAGATATTTCTTATTTATTTATTTTTTTGTTTAGGTTTTTCGTGATAGATTTTCTGTGTAGCCCTGGCTGTCCTAGAATTCACTCTGTAGAACTGGCTGCCCTTGAGCTCAGACCTACCTGCCTTAGCCTCCCAAGTACAGGGATTAAAGGTGCACATGCCCGGCTTGGGCAATTTCATATGCAATATTTTTATTTATGATTTATTTTTATTTTATTTATTTTTGAGTCAGAGTTTCACTTTCTGGCCCTGGGTAGCCTTGGACTTGCTCTGTAGAGCAGGCTGACCTTGAATTCAGAGAGACCTTCTGGCTCTACATCCCAGTGCTAGGATTAAAGGTGTGAACCAGCATACCCAGCTACTTTTATTATTTCTGTGTGTGTGTGTGTGTGTGTGTGTGTGTGTGTGTGTGTGTTGTGTGTGTGTGTATGTGTCTGTGTGTCTATGTGTCTGTGTGTCTGTGTCTGTTTCTGTGTGTCAGTGCATGTGAATGGAGGTTCCTTCTGAGGCAAGAAAAGGGCACCCTTTTTTTTTTTTTTTTTTTTTTGGTTTTTGAGACAGGGTTTCTCTGTGGCTTTGGAGGCTGTCCTGGAACTAGCTCTTGTAGAACAGGCTAGTCTCGAACTCACAGAGATCCACCTGCCTCTGCCTCCCGAGTGCTGAGATTAAAGGCATGCGCCACCACTGCCCGGCGAAAAGGGCACCCTTTATCCCAGCTCTTGGGAGGCAGAGGCAGGTGAATCTCTGACTTCAAGGCCAGGCTGGTCTACAGAGTGAGTTCCAGGACCGCCAGGGCTGTTACCCAGAGAAACCCTATCGAAAAAGAAAAAAGAAAGGAAAAGAAAGCAAGAATAGGACATCAGATCCCCTGGTGCTGAACCAAATTAGGGTACTCAGAAAGGATAGTACATACTCTTAACGTTTGAGCCCACATAACTCATTTCTTTATTTGTTAATTCCATTGCATATTACAGATCCCTTTCATTCTGGGCTTAGATATGATTTACTTTCAAAGATAATGTTTTCTGTCAAGTCTCAGAAAATCCACCCTCTTTGTGAAGAGCAACATAGCTCCCTGTGTTCTCTTCCCTCTTTCTTTCTCTCTCTCTCTCTCTCTCTCTCTCTCTCTCTCTCT